GGGGGATCATTTGAAACCAAAAACCTGGCAGCACCGACGGGCTTGGATGAGACCTGAGTCAGTCAGGAGCCAGCTTAGAGGCCGGCGGGAGGTGGGGTGAGGCCAGGCCGGGAGGGGGCCAGGCCCCAGCTGCTCACTGAGTCAGGCCAGCCCCGATCCCCGAAGTGGGTTCCCACATGGCTCCAGCCCCCAGAGCTTTCTCCCTGTCTGAGGGGCGCCAGGCACAGCAGGCACAGAAAACGGCCGAGTGGTCCCAGCGGGGGGCCGGCCTCCCTTCCTACAGCTCTTCCCACGCCGAACCCACAAACCGACGAACCCACGGACCCAGGACACATGCTGCCCCAGGGAGGCCGGGTCCCTGTCCCCGAGGCCACAGCTCTGGGAAACTGCTTGTGCCAGCCAGTCGGGCCCCGCGCCCGCACCCAGCCTGGCTACGCCCTGGGGTGGGCACACTTGCCCCCCAGCCCCTTCCAGGTGGCACTCAGGCTGGCGTCTTGTCCTGCAGCCCGCAAACCTGCACCCGGGTTCCCATACTCCCGGCCCTTTCTTGGCGATGCCACCATCACCTTCGAGGGCCCGGTGCAGAGGGAGGAAGAGTGAGGGCTGCCCCCTTCCAGGAAGCACATCTGTGCCTCCCGCACCCCCCGGGAGGGGACCCAAAAGTAAAAGGGTCCCCGGGTCCCTGAGCTCCCACCGCAGGCCCGAAGGAAAGGAGCGAGCACCCGGGAGGACCGCCGTGGGCAGCAGAGACCTCGGGAAGAGATCGCAGGATGGACATGGCCTTGCACCGGGTGCCCATGCGGGAGAGGGCCCTGTGGAGGCGGGAGGAGGGGGGCTGCAGGGCACTTCTGGGGCCTGGGCTCGGATGTCAGGCCGTCTCTCCGCCCCTCCCCTCACGCAGGCATCCACCGTTCCTCCTCCAGGAGCTCCAGCTCCAGGGCCCTGCAACCTCTCACTTTAAGTCTCAACCACTGGGGTTGGCTTCCCTGAGTTATAAGTAAGGAGCCCCCTCCCCCTGACCTGTGGCCGCTGCTACCGGCCCTGCCAGCTCAGCAGGCAGCTGGCCGAGACCACCAGGCGGCCAGTCTGGCTGCTGCAGCCTCCAGGGCAGGACGGATTCCAGATTCCGGGCCTGGGGCCGGCTGCATTCCTCTCCGGAACCTTCTCCCCGCTTTTTATTGCCCCGCCATTCCGCTGTTCCTAAATAAATACAACCCAGCGACTCTCTGCCCCGGACTGCTGCGGGCTGACGTGTTAGGATCTGGGCCGGCTGGCCTGTTGCTTGGGAGTCCTTCCAGGTCAGGGTGGGAGGGAACCGAGACAACGGAGAGAAGCGGCCAGGCCGGGTGGGCTCCACCGCGAAGGGCCTCGTGCATAGCCACCCATCTGGGCTGCAGCCCGGCCCGAGCCGCGAGCTGGCGCATCTCTCCCGGGGGAGGCAGGAGGCCGTGGGATCTCGGAGTGCAGATTCTGGGTCCTTATGGAGCCTGCCTGGGGCCCCTGCGTGCACACGGCCCCGGAACACTGAAAACTCTGCCCCGGCTGCTCTTTCACTGCCCGCTGGGAGCCCGTGAGTTCCAGTGTCCGGTGCGTGCAAACTGCCGGCCAGCGCTCCCCGCGATGATGTCAGCGCTCTCCTGGGTCCAAGGCGGCCGCCACATGTGCTGTGAGCGCTCGCCATCTGGCCGTGCTGCTGAGGAATGAGGTTTTAATTTGGGTCAAATAATTAAACGTGAGCCCACTGCCCGGCCGGACGGGCTTGCTTCTCCTCCTCCTCCACCTGGAGACTCACGATAGATTTCTCCCCAGAAGGCAAAGGAAAAGACAGGCCACACTGCTGTCGAGGCAACAAAGGCTGACGTTTCCACCTAAACTCGGTGTTGGCCCCCCCGGCCATCCCCCCGCAGCCATGGAGCGCCCAGCTGATGGGGCAGGCCGTGGAACCCCAAGGCCGAGCAGCTGGGGGGCTGACAGCTTGGGTCCAGGGTACCCCGGAAGGAGAATGCCTTCAGCGGTGAGAAAGTGGGGGGCTGTGACCCCGGAGCAGCCTACGCCTGGGAGCAGGGAGGGAGGAAGCAGGACCGAGCGGGGATGAGCACTGGCCTCAGGTTCGAGTTCGCCCTGTGGGAAAGGACAGCCGGACTCTCTTTGATTTTTTGATCTCTGGGCCTTTTGTCGGCCTCGTCCCCGCAGGGGTGCCCGCGTCTGCTGCCTTCAACGCCTCAGAGCTGTGTCGCTGACCTGGCCCTGCTGCGGCCCGCGGGGTGGTCTTTAGGACGGAGTATGAGTGGCTGTTGTCCAGGGCGTCCCCAAGACCCACGTCCTCGCCTTCTCTCGCGGGCGGCGGCAGGCGGCGGCCTCAGCCTCCCGCTTGACCTTGATGCTCAGCCGGGCCTCGCGCCCTGGGCCTGGCGCTGCCCCTCTGCCCGCGTCTGGGCATCTCTGACTCCAGTACAGCAGGATCCTGCCCAGCTGCTCCATCTGCCTGGCAGAGCGCGTGTCCACCCCCCACTGCTCTCCCCGCTGGCCTGCCGGTTTCTCATCCAGCCCAGTCCCATCTCCAAGGGCTGACGGACCCCTCAGCTCCTGTCCCACTGGTGGGCGAGGTGACGCCGCGGCCCCTCTGCCCGCTGGGCCCGGCACTCGTCCAGCTCCTCACGGTTCTTCCGAGCCAGCCCGTCACAGCGGCCCGATGCCCAGGGGGCAGCTGCTGGTGCAGACCGCGCCTTCCTCCTGCAGGTGTTTCAATGAGCAGCACCCCCCCCCCCCCCCCCCCAGATTCCTCCCCTATCCAGCCGCTGCGTGGCACTAGGGTCATCCGTGACCTTCCCGGGCCCGCTGATGCCATCGCCACGCACTCGTGCGGCCGGC